GGAATCTATCAACAATTGGAACTCATGATAAATATGATTGCAAATAGTAGGATAGGCATATTCACTATAATAGATACTTTAGGCACAAAGATCTATTGTTATTAGAAAAATTTGGAAAGAAACCAGACATGCATTAAAGTTAAATGCGAGGCTTTGAAATTCGTCCCCTTAGTTTCTTGCATATGTTCTAATGTTGTAGGAATACTCCATAAGATCACGTTCTGACCTCATTAGGCATGACATATCACATCATATATACATATTAGATAAAGTATATTAATGGATCATTGTCCAACATACACTCCATTAATGATTTCACTTATTTTCTAAAAAACAATTCTATCATTGTTTACTTAAAAATTGAACTTGTGATAACCACATATTATTGTTATCTTTGATCATGCCCATTCATAAAATATAGTTTTACAAATTAATCTAAGTTATTGCACTCCTTATGGGAACAATATTCTTACTTTTTATCACTTGCTATTATGGCGTGAATGCTAGTGCGTTAGATAGTTTTCACCCAACACCCAACATAACACTTTTTTACCTTCAAGTTATATACAATCACCCCCTTCTTGTTAAATTACATGCCTGAGGAACTTCACTTCAGGCATACAAAAATCACACTTACTAGATTGTGCAAATATCTTATTCTCTCAAAGAACAAATGGTATAATTCTTAGGTGATCCTCATGTTCTTGATTAGTTTGCGAGTAGATTAGGATGTCGTCAATGAATATTACCATGAAACAATCAAGGTAGATTTGTAATACACGATTCTTGTAGTCTATGAAAATAGATTGGACATTCGTAACACCAAACTGCATTACTAGGAACTCATAGTATTTGTGTCGAGTTTTAAAGGACGTCTATGGTGTATTTGAAATCTCCACTCAAATTTGGTTGTATCCCAAGTGTAGGTCAGTTTTGGAGAAGGCCATGACAACCTTAACTTGATCGAGTAAATATCCCATTTAGGGATTTAGGTACTTGTTCTTGATGGTGACCTTGTTAAGTTTGCGGTAGTCTACGCATAGCCTCATCCTACATTCTTTATTATTCACTAGAAGTATTAGTGCACCCAAGGAGACAAATTGGGTCTTCCATAATAATTATTTAACAACTCTTTTAACTTTCACTTGAGTTCCTTTAATTCTATTAGAAAAAATTTCTATAGCGTCACAAGCACTAGCCTCACTTCTTAGACTAGGACTATAGTGAACTTTATTTCTATCTCTAGGGCAAGGATGTGATATTTTCTGGGAAAATGTATTTGAATTCTCAAATTATGGATAACACTCATCCTAGTGTCAAATTCCTCTGTAAGCATTAGAATGAAAATATCATATTTGTTGAAAATACAATGAATCTCTGGATCATGTTCTCTAAGAGTGCAGAGATTAATTCATCTTGTGCCATAGTGGTTGGTGGTATGAAGGTGGTCTTTTCCTCGCAACCAATATATAGTGAATTGGCGGAGAGTCAATCCATCCTCATGAAGGTGAGAAAAATATAAGAAGGGGTTGAATTGTGTTAGCTTTTTCTTTCTTTTTTCTAAGTTTCTTATCAGATTCTGAACACATGGTCTAAAATTTGATACTTGGTTAAGATTTTGTAGCGGATATAACAAGTTCAGAGTTAGGGAGATATAAAAAGAGAGGCACAAGCAGATTTATCATGGTTCCTCTCACAAAACGAGAGTAGTTCGGTTCCCTTGCACTTACAAGGGATTTCACTATAATCACAACTGATTACAACTTTCTCAAGCACATAAGCAAGAGACTTCCAATGCTCAAACACATAAGTAAGAGACTTCTATACTCAATCGCACAACAAGAAACTTAATATGCTCAAGCACACAAGCGAGAGACTTTTCCAATCTAACTTACAAAGAAAAGATTCTTTATTTCGTATTGATATACAAGCAGAGGTGTAAACAAAATATATCACGTTAAGACTCTTTAAGACTTAAGAATTTCTAAAATATACAAGTGTTAAGAAAATATAAGATAAACTTGTGTTTTATGTTTGACAGAGTAACGACTCTTTTTATTGTCAACGGTTTGTTATTATTTCTTCAAGTCTTCAGCTCCTTACATAGAGAAATATAAAAGATTCGTTGAAGAGCACAAGTGACTTTTGGAGAAGCTTGATCAGAGATGTTTAAATGTTATACGGTATGGTTAGTCCCTTTGAAAAGATATTTGAAATCTGTTTGCTTCAAGAGGAATTATCTGTTGCATCCCAGTTGCCTGTGAAGATTTTTGTTTAAATATCCACGTGATCAGAAGAAGACAAAATGCTCTCTGAGTATAAAAGTGGCCTATAAGAGTATCCTCGATCATAATATTGACTAACCTCAGATTCTGATAGTGACCTATCAGAGTCTTATTAATCCTTGCATTGACTGACTTCATAGTTTTTAGCTTCTGATCCTTCAGAGTTTGGGTCTTCATAGGTTGATTTTCTTCAGACTCAAATCTTCAAAAGTTGACTTTCTTCAGAGTTTGAGACTCGAGAGTCTGGTTCTACTCCTTCAGATTCTAAATCATTTTAGCTTCTCTTTAAATGTTCATCTTTAGTATCAAAACTGACTTTGCGTCAGAATTTTTAGTCTTTGATCCTGCAGACTTGAACATATGCTAATATATCCAATTGTTCTTTAGATACTTTGTTATCATTAAAATCTTAGAGATATGATACAAATCAATTTTGTTCCAACACCCCATCACTACGTCTAGTTCTTATGAGGTAGATGTATTAAATATATTAGGAAGGTTCAATTTTGTGATGGTGACGGGGCAATCTTTTCACATTTGAGAGGTATCTACAGTACTATCATTCAATGTATTGACCACCATTGGCGAAGACAACGAGGTTATTTCCAAGTTGAGTTCTTTCGTACATTTTGTTGAAATAAAATAATGTGAATCCCAACAATCAAACAATACAAAAGCGGATCCTTGTATGGATAGTAAATAGCAATGGGATTGTTTTTTCCTCTCAACTTTTTGGCATCTAAAGTGTACACCATCCCATCTCTGATGGTTCCCTCGTCAATTACTCCTTTAGGCACTAACTTTGGGCAATATTTCTTCACATGGATAGGTTGTTTGCAGTGGGCAATATTTCTTCACATGGATAGGTTGTTTGCAGTCGTAACACATCAACACTATTCCTGTACAATCTCCATAGTGTGCTTTTCATGTACAATTTTCAAAGTGTCGTGGCGCAAAAGATACCGAAACGTGTGAACACTCAAAATCATCAGAGTTACCACCGAAGTTTATTTTTTTAAAAGGAAAATATCAATAAAACATTAAAAGAATAAAAATATAATCGTCGCAATCAAATTTGAGTTTAGGAATCGGTTATGCATGGGAGAGGTATTAGCACCCACAAACATTCGTTATACTTAACAGGAACCGCTTAGTTAGTTTTTCACTGGTCTCTTTCAAATATGTATCTCCGAAAATATCACTGAGTCGTTCATTTAACTAGTTCAATGAATTAAAACATAATAATTGAGTGTATGAGTTATTTCAACGATGCATCTCTAGATACATCTAAATATGATATGGAGATGCATCTCCAGTTTTTTTTTTTTTTGCAAAATAGGATGAATCTCATAAAAGCGCATTTTGATGTGTTTTGATACATATGAAAATGTAGGCATTTTTGAATTTTCAAGAATGTGAAAGACCCTGTCAAAGGTGGAAAGAGCATTTCCCTTTGAGTTTTAGGGTATTGATACAAAATGGAAATAAAATAAAAAACTAAGGTGTTTATGATATTGAGTCAAGATTATCAATGAAATTTCATACTTAAATCATAATTTTTGGTTAAAATTTAAAATTTAGAGAATTTTTATTATGGAAAGGACGGAGGTTCTTTGAAAAGAACAAAAGAATAAAAATTGTTTTTATCCAAATGAGGATAATACCTCATATTAAATTGTTTTCTGTACTTAATTACAAAAATGTCACTCATAATCCATCAAACACTCTTTAATTGAATATTTAAAAAACATAAGGTTTTTAAAAATTATAATAATATACATATCAATTATATTGATTTCATTAAACAAAACAAACAATTTTCTTAACTTTCTTAATTGCATTTTGTAGACTCGATGTCTTGTCTTATGCCTAACATTTTTCATCCATTTAGAAACGAAGAAAAATCATACAATCAATTTAAAACTCATCCCAACATGAAATCGACAAGTATAACGTATAAACAACATCGAACATACATTCTTTTGTCGATTTTACTACATCATTCATATTCGAAGAATGAAATCGCGATTATAACGCAGACAACAGAATATACCAATAAACAGCATGGCAAAGGACTTCTAAAGTAACAATTGTCGCAGATGTCTATCATACAAAGCATGTTTCAGTAATTTACAATGTGCAACTAAAACTATGTGATTTTGTTTCATAAAGAACTTATACAACATCGAGCTGTTCGGATAATTTCTCAATAAGTGATGATACATTCAATGAAGGATTTGAGATTTCTTTCCTCCTTAAATAACATGAGAATATTTTAAAAAATCAGTATGTCACTATGTTGAGAAAATAAATATCTAGGTTGAAGATGTTAAGCATTGTAGAATCAGCCAAAGCTACAATGGACTCATTAAAATGGCAACCTCCTGCAACCAACATATACAACAAAGTAAGTCATAATGAGCTTAATTTCCACCAATAATCGATTGCCTCGTTTACAAGGTAAAGTGATTTGTGGTAGGAATTAAGCGGAACGCGAATTTAATGAAAGATCTGTTAGGAAAATGTAGTTGATACTAAAATGGTTGGAAATATTAATGTGACTGGTAGGAGGATGCGATTCGTTACCTTGCTGGATTTCTTTTCCCGGGAAAATCAGATTAGAGTCTTCAGAATTGACATACATAGAAACAGCTGCAGATGAAGGAAAGATTACGAAATTTACTTGAACCCGGGTTTCTTCTAGTATAGCTTGTGCTACAATGAACTCAATAAAGCAAGGAACTCTCTGGGTTCTTCATTCTCTTTAACAATCTATGCCGGAAAAGAATAATCATCAATATAAGAATTGAAAACATTGCAAGAAACTAAATACTGTTAATGTTTTTGGTATAAAAAACATGAAATCAATTCCATTTCATACAATTTAAACAAACTGAAAGATCAGAACATATACCTTAGTAACTGTATTTTTCGGCAAATTAAACTGAACAAGAAGATCGCAGCCAATTTGGTTCCAGTCAACGGCTCCAAGAAAATCAGACTGTCTATCACTATCTAACCAATCCTGTGAAGAAGCGTCCGGTTTGAAAGAACTCCCTACCCATAGATATAAAATACTTCCTGTCTGCGTAAGTATACTTGGAGAGAGTATGATAAAAGCAGCCTCAGAACCCAAATGATTTGAACCAAACGTCTCAATCTTTTCTAAACTAGGCCAGCGGTATACTAAAGTTTGTGTCTTAGTACATTGCAACGAGCCACTCTCATTAGTTCCCTTTGGCGCGGTAGACTTCAAGTTTTCTCTTGACAAACCATCTACGGAAGGCTCAGCATGGTTCCTGAGAAGTGATGATTCCTTGCGGCCCTCACTTTCAATAATGTCGGGACGTGACAACAGTTCGCAATGTTGAGTTGAATTTGTACCTCTGTCTTTGACTTGATGATGATTGGTGGACTCGAACAAATAGTCTATACTGTCTGTATCTTGTACACAGCTAAAGTTGTTGTTACCGAGAACACCGTGTTCCCGACCAGCACAATTAGTTGATGGTTTATCTATTACTTGAGCCTTGTCATTCATTAGAGGCAACTTCAAAGACTTTGATAAACTACCTCTGCGTTCAGCAATGGAAGTCGATGATTTTTTCAATGGTAAAGAGGCAGACTGAGAAGATGGATTTGATAAATTGACGTCATAGCTATCTGTACACTTAGACACTGGTAGAGAGGTAGAATTTGACGAGAGGGACAAATTAGAGAAGTTAGAGAAAGATGAAGATACTGGAACCGGAGCAAAAACTAGAGAGGAAGAATCTGGGGACAATTCTAAAAACTTTGAGTAATTGCTAGAATCAGATGAAACGGAATCTGGAGAGACAAAAGGCGGTGAAGAGGATGTTGTTGACGACGCTGATGGGGATGGAAATGAAATAGCAGATGCGTGAATACACAACATGGAATCTGAGTAGATCCGCGGTAAGGATAACTTAGGGGCTGAGACAAACTCCTTCACATTTGCGTAGGAATTTTTCCGCCTTAAAACACTCCAGCTATTCTCTCTTGCGGGAAGATGGGTTTCATGTTCATTCTCTGATGACGCAAACGGAGGCACAAAACCTCCCACGATGGCTTTTCCAAAAACTTCAAAATCGACATTGTATGCATCCACTTTTCTCTCGCCAGGAAAAATTTTAACACTTGTTTTGCTACTTTCTACTACACTTCCAGATAGGTCCATCAAAGGCAAAAAGTTCGAAAAAGCATCCCAGAAAGAAGCCGGTTCCTCACCTTCCTTAATCATGATAATAGACCCTTGCACTCTCTCATACCGGACAATCTGACCTGCGGCCCCTCTGGCATCCCTTTCCATGATAGCCTCACAATTCTTTCCAATCCAAACATATATTGCAGACGGAATGTGCACTATAAATGCACCCCTAGAGTCAAGAGCAGACGAAGACGGATCAGTCAACATCTTCGGAACAAGATGCAAAGGATCATACGGCGAGTGAGGAGCAATCCTATACATCCTCAACAAAGAGCTAGGACTAAGAGGAGACGCATGGACCCTTTTCTGACACTGCAACAACTGACAAGCAAAACCCATATTCGGATCGGCAATACCTCTCGCCGCCTTCACAAACTGAAAAGCATCATCGAAACTCTGCCCTTCCCTCCACATAAGGTAAGCAATGACAAGAGAAGTAGACCTCGACACCCCTTGACAACAATGAACAAACACCCTCCCATTATTTTCCCTAACATCCTCAAAGTAATCAAACACATCATACAAAATACTAGTTATATCCTCACTAGGACTATCTTGTAACCACAAAGTTCTATACACAAAATCAGCTTTGAAATACTCAGGACACACAAAACCTACACAATTCAAAACATGAGTAATCCCATTCCTTTTCAAAATATCCCTATCCTTAGCAACAGCATCACCACCAAGATAAACATGTTCAGCAACTTTAGAACATTCCTTATCAAAAAAAGCAATCTTATCTCTCTTCACAAGTCCACCATTATTCCTACTATCATGATTATTATTCTGCTGAATAGAAGACAAATCAAGTTTCAACCTTTCACCATTGTTATTATTAACACTACTACTACTATTACCATTACCATTACCTCTCCCACCAGGAGTAATTGGCGGTTGCGGCCACTCCCCGATATCATCCGAACTCGCCTTCGGCCACTCATCCAAACTCCGGCGAGCAATCGAAAGCGGCTGAAGCGGCGGCAAACACGACGACCTCGCCTTACAATTCTGCTGGCTCCTCGGCGTCAATGGAGGCGGAGGAAATCTCCGGTTAGTATTATTCCCTTCACCTGAATTGGGATCAGCAAAATTGGACTCCGGTTCACCGTTTGCGGCGGAGGAACGAGCAGAAGACCACGACGATGAGCGCCAAAACATTTTCCGGTTAGATGAAAGGTGGCACGGAGCACGAGCATCGTCGTCACCCACCATGCCAAATCGGTTCGTAATCGGAACAATTTGATGTGTTTTGAAGAAAGATTGAAACTTGTTGAACGAAAACAGCACAAACACGACCCCTAACACTAGCTCTTAACCCTAGAAACTAGGTTTTCTGAAATGGATCAAAACGCTGCGCATTGATGGGAATTTGTGAAATTGAAGCAATCTAATGATGAAGCAATTGAAAGAGAAAGAGAATTTAGTGATGAAAGATTTTGAGGATTTTGAAGTGAAAAAAATTATGATGAGGGAAGAAAAGAATGGAAATTGGGAAGAAAGAAAGAAATTTGGGATTTTTTTATTTATTTTGTAATTTAGTTGAGTACTAAATTTTAATGAGTGAGGGTTTTGCTATTTACATATTTATATGATTTTTGGGTCAAAAGATAATAATTTTATGCCTTTTGGGATTGGGTTCTTTATAAAAAATTAGATGTTATTCATGATGATGGTCAATGAAAATTAAAAACTTAATGTAACCTATGTGTATTAATAGAATAACAATGGTAATAATTATGTAAAGTGTTAGTATAGTCAAACATGTAACTTATTCAAATGGATATATATTGGTTGTTTATAGGAAAAGTAATAGAGAAAAAGACTTTTTTTTAAAAGTAAATTCAATGGTTTTATTTTGGTATAAATCTTTTGAAAGATTCAATTTTTATATTAAAAATTGTGGTAGGTGAATAAAAATTAATTAAAGATAAAGGGAAAAGGTTTTTTTAGTGTGAGAAAGCAATAAATATATTTTTTTTTATTTTCTTTTGTTTGTTATGAGGAGAAGGTGTTTTTTTTTTCAATTTTGAAAAAAAAATATTAAATTTAAAGATAACTACAATTTTATTTTATTTTAGTGAATAGTTAAAAAAATATCATTAGACTCGGCCCAACTTATTATAGTTTAATTTGGATCGATTTATAGATATCAAAACTAAAACTTATAATTTTTATTATTTTAAGATTATAAAAATATTATAAAATTATATATTTTGAGTAATATACAACATATAGTATATTAAAAACTAAAATAATAAAATAAGAATAATTTATTTGAAACAAAAAAAAATATTAAAAATTAACAGATAAATTAAATGAATAATAATAGTAAAGTAAATTAAATATTAACAAAAAATAAATTCACATAAAAGAAAATTCGAACACATCCAAAATTATTCAATTTATTGTAGTTTTTTTAAATTTAATTTTTAATTTTTATTTGGATCAACAACTCAATATAAAATATGATAAAAATAAATAAAGATAAAATTTAAATAATGATAAAATAGATTAATAATATCATAGACACATTTTTTTTGAGTTTGATGCATATAAAAAATTGGGTTAAATATACAACATCTTTACAATGTAGGCGAATTTCGATTTATCTTATGAAATATTTTTTTTAAATTTTTCTCTATAATATTTTTTTTATCCCTAAACGTGCAATTTAAACACTAAATATATATATATATATATATATATATATATATATATATATATATATATATATATATATATATATATATATATATATATATATATATATATATATATATATATATATATATATATATATATATATATATATATATATATATATATATATATATATATATATATATATATATATATATATATATATATATATATATATATATATATATATATATATATATATATATATATATATATATATATATATATTACAGAGGTAACTTTGACGATTAAGAGACAAAAGACATAGAATTTTAACATTTAAGATTCAAAAAAAAATTTTACAAGACATAAACCAAAACTCGCCTAAATTTTTTTATTATATAATTCATTATAGATTTGATTCTTTACGAAATTGGTCCAACTATTTTAAATTTAAATAATTTTGATCTCTTTATATACTTTTGCATTTAAAATTAAAAATGTTTATATTTTTTAAATGAGAAGTTTTTATAAAATATGAAAAAAATTATATATGAAACTTTATAGATAAAAGACTTAAATGCAATTTTAATTTCTTTATTTTTTTTTTTAACTTTTAGTCTTCATTTTAAAAATTTAGCTTTTTGATTATTCTTTATACTTTTATTGAGGTTTTTTTTAATCTCTCTATCCTTTTATTTATGCAACACATCAAAATGGTAACGTGGCTCTAAGTATTTAACGTCGTGTCATTTATTTATAATGGCACTAAATACTGATTGTCGCGTCATAATTTTTATGTGCTACATATATAAAAGGATAAAGTAATAAAAAAAATTCAGTAAAAATTTAATAGTGAAATAAAAAAATTGAGTTTTTAAAACACATGACTAAATTTTTAAAAATACCAAATAAAAAGATTAAATTCTATTTAAATATAGATAAAAAAAGATAAATTAAAAAACAAATATTCAATCAATTTTTTATAAAATATATGAAAAGACTATAATTTTGTTAATTTAAAATAAAAAAACTAATTTTGTGAATCGGATAAATTCATCGGGAAAAATATTATTTTTAATCATGACGGTGGTTTTGTAATGAAAATTGAAAACGTAATGTAATATATATATATATATATATATATATATATATATATATATATATATATATATATATATATATATATATATATATATATATATATATATATATATATTAATAATTATGTAATTTAATTGATATGCACTGTTAACTAATTATTTTCATACATCCTATCACATCATACTGTAAATTTAAAATTAAAAATATGACATGACAGATTAATATAGATTAATATATTTCTGTTAAATGACAATCATTGTCGATATATATATATATATATATATATATATATATATATATATATATATATATATATATATATATATATATATATATATATATATATATATATATATATATATATATATATATATATATATATATATATATATATATATATATATATATATATATATATATATATATATATATATATATATATAAATTAAACTTATATTCTATTCAAATAAATATATATTAGTTATTTATAAGAAAATAATAGAAGAAAAAAAAGACTATTTTTAAAAAAAATGTTTTCTTTGGTTTTATTTTGATATAAATCTTTTGAAAGAATGAATTTTTATATTAAAGTTTTGGGATGAGAATCTTAATAAATTAAAAATGAGAGGAAAGCAATAAAAAAGTTTGTTTAAATTTTCTTTCGTATGGTGTGCAGAATAGCGTGATGTGGTTAAAATTTTTGATCTAAAAGTAAAATTATTTATAATTCAGTTCGATTTGAATTTGTGGTTAAAATAATTTGATACGAACCAATCCAATTTAATACTTTGAATCGGTTTTTGGATATTTAATTTATAAATTCTAATTTTTATTAATATTAATATTATAAAATATTATTTAATAATAAGTTATAAATAATATACAACCTATAATATATTAAAATTTAAAATTTAAAATAAATTTGATCAATTATATTTGAAATAAATAAAATATTAAAAATGAATCAATAAATTAAACTAATAAATTGACATAATATATCAAACTAAAAAAAATGTTAAATTAGAGTTTTCGTCTCTAATTTTGCCTAATTCACAAAATTAGTCATTCTATTTTAAATTCATACAATTTTCTTCTCCCACGTTTTTCATAAAAAAATCGATGAGATGTTCGTCTTTTAACTTATATTTTTATCTATAAAGTTCAACGTTGTGTTTAGATACGATGATTTGTCATGTTTCACAAGTAATTTGTCATTTAAAAATTGATATTATTGTTAGTTTCAAGTGAAAAAGTATGATAGAAAATCAAAATTGTTTAAATTTAAAATAGATGAACCAAAACTGTTTAAATTTAAAATATGAAGACCAATCTTATGAATCAGGAATAATAGAGGACAAAAATGGTAATTAAGGCAAAAAATAAATAAGTATTAAAATATATAAATGCAGTTTAGTTTAGTTTTGATAGATTTTGAAAAATCAATCTCAAATGTGATCAATAAAAGTGGTTTTTATATAAGAGAATCTAAACGCATTCAAAATTATTCGGTTTTTTTTCAATTTTTTTTAAAATCAATTAATAATTTTAATTGAATAGATTTGAATTAAGTAATAATAAAATTTAAATAAAGATAAAATATATTATTACTATGATAAAGATATATTTTGTTATGTGTTTGATGCGTATAAAATCATATATTATATTACTATTTTATTGTTTTATATTTTTAATATATACTTATTATTGAGATTATATTTATAATATATACTTAATATGTATTTATTACTATTTCAAAATATAAAGTATTTGTGTAAACAAGTAAGATACTTTTAAAAAATTAACTTTGAATAGTTTAAATTTTATAATTAAATAAAAAAACACTTTACAATTTAAAAATAATAAAACAAAATTTAATATCTTTTATAAAATTTGTTCAATATTACTGATTAAATTATGAAAATTATCATCGCTTTTTTAAAGTTGTGGTTTATAACTATCAAAAACTTGTTCACATTAATATATAATTATTTTAGTCCAACTAACAAATACCTATGGAGCTACTCCACCCAACCAAAATTAATATTGCTTGAAATTTATATTTAATTTAAAATGTATTAATTTGGATATATTTTTTAAAAAATTAATAAAAGCTTTATTTTTTTTTAATATTTTAACATCAATCAATTACCTATCAATTATTTATTTAATATTAATTTTTAAAGAATAAATTAGTCATTTATATTTCTATCTTTTTATATTTTTAAATTTATTTTTATGAATAAATTAGTAATTTAGCTTTTTTATCCTAACATAATTGTTTCTAATCTAACTCAAATTTAAAGTATCCTAGAGACAAAATATAATAAGTTTTAATATTAAGTTATCATATCTTGTTGTTTAATCAAATATTGGACTGGCACGTTATATAGTATAATTGTCTTATCTTATCTTTTATCATGTGCGTCGTAAAGACCTTAAAATGTGTATTGTTTAGGTAGAATAAGAAA